TTTCACGGAATGTGACTGCAGTCGGTGAAAAATAGTGAAGCGAAACTTGCGCAAAACAAAGTGCACCCTGGAACGGCCAGAAACAATAATTATTTCGTCCTCGGTTGGATTAGCGGGAGAGCATGGCTACATCTTTTTTCAGAGTAATTTCTTTTCGTATTGTCCGTGTCTGGCAATTACGCATATAGTGCCGCAAACACTGAATGCGTAGTCAAGGCTGGAATAAATTATTCCACCATCGCAGATGTTTAGAAGGCTTGTCACGCACCACGAAACGTACCGAGGTTGTTATACCAAACTTCTTGCTGACCACATGATCAGCACATAATTCCTATATGGTTGCCTTATGAGCTATCTAAGCACCTGTAGCAAAGCAAGGCACGTTCTTGTTAAATGTTGTTCATATAAACCATGGTTGTGCATAAGCGCAGTCACAGCTTTCCGTGTGAATTGGTCATAACCCACGTTTTCGAGTGTAGAAGAGCCTCAGCGTACCTAATCAGCTGCCACAACAAGTTCGTAAGCAATGATGAGGTACGAGATTGTGCAGCTGTTTTCCATGTACTGAATAGTCCATGTAAAGTGCGTTGACCACCGCCATTCCTTAAGCCACCTCCATATCTATCAATTTCAGTTTGAAGTGTAAAAAATCTGCTGGCATTGATAGGGTTTCTATAACTGACTTGCACCGTACATTTGAATACACCCATGAAATTCTGCTAGCACTAATAAATCGCATTATTTTTAGTGGAGAAATTCCCATAAACTTGAAAACATCAATAGTTATACCTCTACACAAATGCGGTGCGCGCGATAAAGTTGAAAATTATCGTCCGATATCAATTCTGCCTTCTATAGCACAAATACTAGAAAAACATTTGTTGTTAACGATGACAAGCTTTCTCGATAGTCACAACATCTTATCGCCTTGCTAGTATGGTTTTCGACAGGAGGAAAAGAACTCAGACGCTATTGGAAGACTTCTCTGATCAGTTGAACGAGGCGTTCGATAACAACAAAGTTGCCTGTGCGCTCTTTCTTGACTGCAGCAAGGCTTTCGACAGTGTCCATCATACCTTGTTATTGGATAAACTTTTTCAGTTAGGGTTTAGGGGTGCTTTCTGGTCTTTGTTGGCAAATTTCCTCCAAGGCAGGCGTCAACTTGTATCCGTTGAGCAATCTCACAGCGCGTTCCAAATCATCAAAACCGGCGTTCTACAGGGATCAATTCTTAGTCTGCTGCTAATCAATATTTTTGTGAATGACCTTCACAGCGCGATACCGGTTTCTCTATATCAATACGCCGACGACACGGTGATCGTGACGACTGCAAGCAACTTTTACGAGGCGATTACTCTTCTTCAGTCAGCTGCCACTAAAACCATGGACTGGTTTCGATATAACGTTATTAATATAAATGTGTCTAAAACTTATCTAATCTGCCTTCATAATCCATTGAAGAAAGTTACCGTTGACTATCCCTTCATTTCGCATTGTTCTGACTGTTCATCCTGCTCTTGTAGTCCATTACAGTATTCATCTGTTGTGAAATGCCTTGGCTTATACATTGACAGCAACCTTTCCTGGAATAGTCATCTCGCCTATGTTTGCAAAAGACTTCGCGCTGTGTCATGTCTATTATATAACATAAGATACAACATGCCGTTTTCAGTACGTAAAATGGTAGCACACGGTTAAGGTTACAGTATACTGCGTTACTTAATAACCATTTACGGACACTGTGCTGTCCGATGGCACAATAAAATAAACAGAATATTGCGTTCAATTTTAAAAATTATATCTTACGACCTGAACATGAATTCTGAGAGAGACCTTTTCAAAACGTTGTTTATGCCGAACTTCAATGATCTGTTAATTCAAACGGTTGTTTTAAAATATTTCTTGTCCAAAGAATTCCTGGTTCCGTATGTTACTTCTCGTTCTTTAACGCCCAAAGTACGTTACTGGAGGCCGCGGTGTTCAACAAAGTATGGAACTAGAATACGAGCCCATTATGTCCCAACCTATTTTAATGTACTTTCCCCCAGCATTTTTTGCACAAAAACAAATTACAAATTAAAGAAACGGCTCCGGCGTATCTGTCAACAATTGTAATGCATGTCGTGTGTTATTTCATATACACTCATTCGCAAGCATGATGCTGCACAATTATCCAGTGTGTTACTTTGCCTTAGAAGCATTTGCTCTAATTCTTTCTTTTTTCCTTTTCACCTTTTCACTTTCAATTGCTGTAACTATTGTATAATGCTTGTAACTATTGCTTATATGCCCTGTTGTTTCTAATCTCATATGCACGTTGTTTTTTGTCCTATCATCCCTCTTGGGCCATGAAATACAATCTTGTAACGCGTCCTTTTTGTTTTGCTGTCTGCCAGGCTCTGCCACTTAAGCCACCAATTGGCTTTGGCAGGCCTAGTCACATGTACTGCTTTATTTGAAGAAATAAAAGGCATTATTATTAATATAAACTCCCAGTCTGAACAGATGTGGGACCTTAAACACTGAGAAGCAGTGCCCCCCACACACACAGACACGAAATTCTAGGGCGAACGGGCTGATACACACGCATACTTATTCACAGGCGCACACACATACACGTATACACACATGACCACAGACTCACTGCCACCGTAAACGCACGCATGCATGGATGTACACATGTGCACAGGCACGCGTAACACAAGCACGGACTCACACATACACGCGCACGCACACATGCACGGGCGTACACGCAATCGCGCTTACACACGAACACATGCGCAGGCTCACACACACACACACACACACACTTATACTCGGGCGAATATTATGCACTGTCTATATAATCCATAGCGAACATGTAGCTTTTAACCAATGCTAAGGAAAGCTTTCGTAACGTGGATTGCAGTTAATTGCCATTATAGATGAAACACGATTTGCTTCTGCTGAGCATTCTGCTGTATTCAGAGAGCACCTCCACACAATCTAAGTCAATTAGGCCGCAGTTTCAAGCAAGGTCCACATATTCGTGCAGTAGCTACGCTGCTCAGGCCGCCTATTCGAAGGTCGCGGGTTCGACGCCAGCCTTGGCAGTCGCAATAAGACGGAGGCGAAAAGGTTGAAGCCTGTCCACGGTGCGATATCAGCGCCCGTTAAAGATCACCAAATTGTCAAAATCTCTTTAGCTTTTCACTACGGCGACCCGTCATAATCATATCGTGGTTTTTGGGATCAAAAATTCTAAATATTATAATTTTGTGTTGTTCTTTTGCTGCATATTCTATCTGATCAATCTTCACTTACACCCTTCTCCAGACACTGAAATCTCCCTTAGAGCTTATTTTAGGGTGCTATCAAGGCAAGCGCCCAAACAAAGGGGTGCTTTTTTTAAATCAACCATTTATGGGTGGTAAAGGATGTTGTAAAGAGTGCTTTTGTTTCCCGTAAAAGCACCCTTTTCACACCCTTTTGGGTGTGAAGTTTTTTATTGTGTAGTGTGTCAAATCTAATCAAAATGCAGTGACTATATAATGAAGAGATCCAGCATATAAGGACAGCACAAAAAAATTGGATGCCCAAAGAACATGTTGTCAGCTTAAGCAGGAATGCCTCTAAACTAGTATATAAACGCTAGCATCACTTTTCGGGAATAAGCAACCGTGCATTCAAGACAGATTTAGAGATTTTCATATCAGTTTGCCCTGACGAAAAGCCTAAATTGTATATGTGGTGTCGACAGTAAATCAGCCTAAAATTATTTATAAGAAGCACTCAGCTCTTCCCACAAAATGACTATGTTTTTCTTATACGTTACTTTACATATTTTCTCTCAGATAGCTGAAAACTAACGTAAATTTTTAGAATAGTCCTAGGAACTTCTCGGCATTTTCAAATGACTGTCATGTACCAATACTTCCATCATGCATAATTAGTACAACTATGTTTGCAAGGCTTCTGTGCCAACTGATAACATCTGCAACTCAAGAAGGTTATTTTTTAGATCATACTTTATGGCTTATTCTTAATTACCAAACTGAAAACGATCAATTGTACCATGGCTACAAAGTGAACTTGGAATTAAGCAATCAGATGGCTCCAATAAAACGCTTGCATCTAAATAGTGGCTGGTGGCATTACACACTGAATCCTAGGGACTTGAATGTTTTACGAGGCACGTGCGCTCAGATTTGGGTGCACGTTAATAACCCCCGGAGTTCAAAATATCCGGTGTCCTCCACTACGGCGTCTCTCATGATCATATGGTCGTTTTTGGACGTTAAACCCCACATATCAATCAAATCATTTGCTACGAGGTTGAATAAAAACTAAACACATAAGTAACGAGGCTAATAAGCAACCAGAACAGACTTTCTAATTGAAGTACCAGGTAGTGTAAACTGCGTCTCAAAATGGAAAAAAACGATGACTTGAAATTTATAATTTTTCATATTACAATTTAGAGAACATTGGTCTGAAAATATTTTAACACAAAATAGACCTTAAGAGTTGTAAGTAATCATTACTCAGACATTCACACGTACCGCTATATGCCAGAGATACTGGAGTAAAATTTATAGAGCTTGAAAAGCTAACACAAACGCCTTTGTGTTATAGAAATCGAATTTGTTATTCAAAGAAGAAGCAATACTCGTCAAGTGACTTTCTTGAGAAAAATTACTCAGACAACTCTGCGATGTTCAAAGTGCAACCACGTGGCGAAAATTATTTGGCACTCTGAAATATTTTAGCAATTCAATTTTTGTGCTCGCACTATTGTTTTCGGGTTTTTTTACCAGGTTCCCAGAGATTCCGGTACAGCTTGACGTTGCCTCACAGAGAGTGAGTACGAAAACAAAAAGATAAATGCGAGAAAGACATACAGAAGTTGGTTAAACATTGGGCAAGTGGGCATTTAATGCGACAGCATCTAAGTAGTCAATCCTTCATATGCAAAAGCTTGCGACGCATGTAGGCACGCCTCATGTGAGAATAATACTTACCTGTGGCCTTAGTACTTCAGAGCGAAAGGGTTTCCACCAAGCACGAAAAATAGTGGTCCAAGAAGCTCCTCAAGCTTTGAGTATGCCTGAAAATACCAGACGCAAGGAATGCTTATGTCAGCTGTGTTCGCGAAGGTGGTGTCGATGTACCGCATGAAATCACTTTAAGAAAACAATGAAAAGGTTAACAGATGAAAAAATAACATACGCACACATCCACACACCCTAACACCCAAAACGTATCGCTGTACGTGTTTTGGGACTGGGTGAGCGGTGCGTGCGTGATTATGCCGCCTTTTTGCACTCTGATTCTCTTTTGGAATGGTAGCTCAACCACTAGTCCGTTTACAGCACGAAATCAGCTAAGACGGGCTCAACCATCCACAAAATACGACAGCATATCAACGCAGTAGTTAGTATGAGGCACCAATTACCAGCGTGTTGGCTGTAGCGCAATTAATGCGGCTGATGCAGAGTGCGTAGCCAGTTCCCGACCCTTCAACTAGCGAAGCCAATCGGTTCCGCGAAGGCGAACCCTGAAGACCCTGAGCACGGGAAAGAAAGGAGACTTTTCGTTCGCACGGTTCACGTGCGGAGCCGTCAAGGTCGCCCCCGTTCGAAACTAGAAGGGGAAGGCTTACTTGGAAGAGTGTCTGGCAAGAGGCAGGTCAGGCGCCACCGTCTAAGTTTAAACCATTGTTAGCATGCACGCGTGTCATTGAGAATGACGCGGGAGACGCGACCACTTGGCTGACCGAGACATACTGGTGGCAGAGAGACGAGCATAACCTCCCCCGCTGTCCGTCATTACCGACTGCTGTTAGGATGTCGCGGCGCCTCGCTGTCGCATGGACACCTGGTAAGCACACGGAGCCCAACGGTGTACTCACCGCTCTTAGGGAGGCTTCTACGAAGCAACATTCAATGAGAGCATGAGAGCACAACATTTAATGAGAGCACGGGGCTCGAGCATGAGAACCGCTGCCGACGGAAGTCGGCCGATGGAGGCAGCACGGCCTGGCATGGGAGAGAGTGTCACAGGCGCAGAACCTATCCCTTTGCGTGTTTTATTTAGTAACGTGGTTTTAACCAATGTACTGCCTGTTATGAAGGTGTTTCTGCAATTCGTTGTGATGATGCAAGTCGGAACATGTGATTGGTGTGTCGAGGACCCTTTGTTCAACCGAGGGTTGAAAAGAGGATGTTTGAATCTGAAATAGGAGAGTGAATGTTCGGGCTTGGACTCGGGCATTAGCCTGAGGCTGCAATAAAGCGTCTCTTCACCGGAACTACGGCTCTTCCTTTGCGCTGGCACCGTGCACTTAAGTCATCGAGGGGACCCATCCCGAACCTCAAAAATCTTCCCTCCTTGGCTAGTGTAGAAGCTTGTCGAAGAGAAGGAAATTAACTGTATTGAATGATGAAGAGTGGACCAAGCTCCGGGAAATTCAATTTCATTTTTCTTTCATCCCAAGCATGGAGAAATGTAGCATGCTCTGGATAAAAGTAATGTTTGTCATTTGAGGAGATCTCGAGCTTCCCTATTACATGGAAAGCAACGATGACATAGTTGACGAAGGTCAAGAAATAGGCCGTGAACATAGGCAATCAACATATACCATCAATTGTTTGACACAGAGGAAAAGAAAAGTGTGCTCACGGTATTTGTAAGTACAGTATTTATGTAAATTAGTAGTGACTTGGGCCGCTTTGTATTGCATTTTGAAGAAAAGTTCTTCCTTAGTATGGAGGGGAACGTATCAGAAAGGAGTCAGATATACTAGAACCTACACAGTTTAGTTCAGTTTTATTTCCTTGAAGGCGCCCGTTAAGGGGCATTACATAAAGGTTGGGATTACACGTAAAAGCATAACAGCGATCGATTTAATTATTATTGCAGATTATCAGCGATGCGTTTTTAAAACATAGATGATAAGGCAATGTTGACTATATCATAGCGGCAGGCCGTTCCAGTCTGAAGCTTCTCTGAGGAATAATGGAGCAGAAAACGTAGGGGATTGTGATGGTGGGCGGGTAACTTGAAGTGGATGCGCCATGCGGCTGTGATATTGTGTTTGCTTAAGAGACAAATAAACGAAGTTATGGTAAAGGATAAGACTAGCAATGCGACGACGGCGAGAAAGAAGCGATGGACCGAATTCAGCTTTCAAGAGTGAAATGCTGATGTTATATGAGTTTCAAGAATGAATGAATTATTGAGTGACCCTAATTTTAACGTCTTCCAAGGCAGTAATTAGGTGTTCTTGTTGCGAGTGCCAGTTGTCAGATGCACTGTTCTAGCTTTTGTCTTACAAGTGATTTAGATTTGAGTAGTTTAACATGATGTGGGGTGAGTGGGAGATGGCGTTTAAGAAGGCCGAGTATTATGTTCAATGCTGAAATTACGTTAGTAATATGGGCGCATCATGATAAATTAGAAGAAAAGGTGACTCCTATGGATGTTTATAGGAATATGCTAATTCAATCAATAAATTTGAAACAAAGTAGTAAAACCGAGACCTATTGTGACGACGAGAGGACACGAGTTTACATTTAGTCAGATTGAGAGTCAATAGCCAACGTAACACCAATTTATTATATTGTTAAGGTCACTCCGAAGAGTGTAATGCTCATGATGGTTTCTAATGGTAAGGTATATTACACAATCGTCAGTGAACATGCGAATGGTACAGGAAGTATGCAATGGTAAAATGTATATAAGAAGTAAGAGGGGACCGAGAACAGACCCTTGTGGGACTCCTGAGGTTACTGGGAGGGGTTTAGACAGATGGCCATTAACACAGACTAAGCGAGAGCGGTTAGCTAAAAACTCTTCAAGTCACTTGAAGATGTTAGGATGTAAGTTAAGCTTCAATTTTAGTAACGAACGTACAGAGCAACTTTTTAAAAAGCTTTTGGGAATTAAAGGAAGATCGAGTCGATGTGGATGATGCAGTCAAGACTAGTTGAAGGTCATGAACGAATTGTGCCCATTGGGTTTCGCAAAAGAGGCCTTGCGAAATCTGTGCTGTGAAGACTGTAAAAATGTGTTGGAGTCCAAGAATTTGACGATTTGTGAGTAGACGACATGTTTCATTATTTCACAAGGCACACTAGGTAACGAAATGTGGCGGTAGTTGAAGGGTAAGTTTCTTTTACCTGATTTGTAGACTGGTTTGCCTGTTTTCCAATAAGCCGGCACGTTTCCTATGATGAGCGAGTGTGAAAAGATGAGACATAAGTATGCTGCCCAAGTCCATTGCACAATTTTTAGGAGTTTTGAGTTGATGAAGTTCATACCAGTTGATGAAGTAAGTTTAATTTTGTGATGAGATGCGGCCTTCATGCCAGCTGTCACCCACTTCGAAGAAGGTGACAGCTGGCATGAAAGTTTCTAAAGTGAAGAATGGCGACTGTGAGGTCGTATCAAGTTCAGTGGTAAACAGAGATGAATATGCTTTGGTAAACATTTTCGCCCAATCATGGTCAGTCAGTGTCTTGTGCGAATTGCTTATTCGTACAATATTTGAAGGATTTGTGGGGTTTAGAACTTGGCGGAATCGCTTGGGGTTCTTGAGTAGCACGTTAGGTAAGTCAACATATAAAAATGAGTGTTTGGCTCTGCGAACAGACATCAGTTAAAATTTTTCATTGATATGTAGGCTTTAACATCCCAAAACCACCATAATATTATGATAGACGCCGTAGTGGAGGACTCCGGAAATTTTGACCGCCTCGGGTTTTTTAACATGCACCCAAATCTGAGTGCACAGGCCTACAGCATTTTTGTACCCATCGGAAATGCAGCCGCCACAGAGTCAATATTTTTCATCGGCAATGTATTTTTTCCCGTGTAGCAATAAGCTTCTCGGTGCATTTTGCATCTGAAAAACGTCACTTTTTTTGTTTTCAAGTTTTTTATTTTTGAACTGCCGTGAAAACCATAGTTGATTTCAGTTAGTTCGAAACACAACTTTAGAAATGAAAATATCGGAGAAGAGATTTACTTCATTTTTGAAGATCAACTGGCTGTCATCAGTGTAGCATTTGTCAAATGTAGACTCGAACGTATTGAAGACGTTGCCTAAGTCCTCAGTCATTGCGCCATAGTTTCACTGGTCATAAAAAATAATTGCTTTACTAATCATCTGTTTTTGGGTCGAGGTAAATAAAAATAGAGCCTAAATAACTTGGTGATCACTAATCTCGGGAAGGTAGAGAATAGATTAGAGGTTTTCGAGGCTATCGATTATTATCAGGTCAAGAATATTTGCTGATCCTTCTGAGACATGTGTTAGTTTGGAGACAAATTGGGCGAGGTTAAAGTTAAAGCACACATCAAGGAAGCTTCTCGCCTCTGCAGGACATGAAAATGTAGAATTAGTAGTGTTTTTCCAGTCACCAAAATCACCAAAAAGAAGAATTCGAGTATTTGGATAAGTGAAAGTAACTTTCTGAATGCTATCATTGAGAATACGTGGAAAGTTTGGATCCACTTGTAGGGCTCTATAGCAGACGCCAGACGCCAAGTAAGACTGTTAGGGTGTTGGCGCGACAAATTAGCCACAAGGATTCGGTAGTAGGATCGAAGTGTATAAAAGCGCGAGATACGCCATGACGAATTGTGATATGTACTCCGCCCCTCCACCCTCCTTCCCCGTGAGCCTTTTCAGTTGTTTCGGTACACGAGGAAGTTCTTCAAATAGGTTAAGATTTCTGCATCCGATACGTCCCTGTTGGGCCATGTTTCTGTTAGTACGAGCGTGATTTTGTTTGATGCAAAGATAAAGTTGGATATAATCCCTCGTTTTCGAACAAGGCAACGTATGTTAGGGACCATATTGGAAAACGGGAGAACGTGGCAAGGGGAAACCAATGCTGTTTTTTTTTTTGCGGGGTGATTGCTACGTTATTTCGTTAATGGTGTTTGAAGATGATGAAAATATATGGCGCATCGAACTAATGTTCATTGTTTTAAATCGTTGGGGGTATTTTTCAGAACGTCCTATTACAAATGCAAGCAGCTGCTTGCGGACATGTTGAAGGGGCGGGAGACGTCCTATCCGACACTGTAGGTAGTGTGATT